CTGAATTGATTTAGGAACGATTTGGCCAAAATCTTCCGAATCACTACTAGTCATATCCAAGGTATATCCATAGGTGATGATGGGGCTATGAATCGACAGTACACGCTGTTAATGGCGGATAGTCAAGAGGTGATTGATTGTTTCTCATCTTACGTCTCGTACGCTGGAGCACGTTTTTTGTCTGTTCAAATGGTGGACACTTTCTTGCAAAGTGCAGCTCATGCTAATGTCACGCTTTGCCTCGGAGACAAGCTATAACGAAGATTTACAAGCAGAGGACTTTTTGCACCACTACAGTACGGGTGGTTTTGCGTTAGTTGCTCTATGCAGTATCTTACTGGTTCAGGAGGAAACTAGCTTTTCTTGCAAGGAGTTTTTCCTCAAAGCCCGTTCTACTGCGGCAAGCAGACCGCATTCCACAGCGTTAGGTTACGGTAGCATACGGTAGTGTTGCAAAGGGTCCTGCTGCTTGCAAATCTCCAATGTGACACTATGCTTTTTGGAATTGGTAAAGCCCATCCACAATAGAGATTTCCAGGAACGAAAGAAATGGGTCATAGCATTGAATGAGTTGAAAGCTCTCTTGAAGAAGTCGCGGCTAGCGGATCGAAGCGCATTCAGCGTCAAGGTAAGCTATCTTCGTATTATTTTTTTCGTGTTTATTTCTTATTCAATTTTCTACAGGAAGTTTTTGATGTTGCAAGCTTGCCTTCCATTCGATTAGCGCAATGCGCTACCGTAATCGACCGAACAAAAATGGTCATAGGCTTTGCAGATGTCGGATTGTATTGTGTGGAGCTGGACAGAGAGGTACTGCAGCTTTTTTGGGTTGCTTGGATTCCATTTTAGTATAGACCATTTCTTGCTTTGCTGAATGTGTGTTTTTACAGACTTTGGTAGCCGTAGGAGGAGAGAAGGAGAATAAAGGCAGATTCGTGGAAAAGGTCGAGTATAGCGCATCTGAACAGGTATTTTCTGATTCCATTCTCGTTTGATTGTTTGTTCTGTCTTTGTTTTTTCCTTCCTTTTCCGATCGCCGCAAATTTTCGTTTCTTTAGCTCCTGTTGGTCATGGTTGGACCACCTAAGGACAGACATGTACGGTTGATCCCATCGGCCGCGCTAGATGGACGCGATCTAAAATGGATCAAGGTATGGGGCATTTTTGCTTACTTTTGCTCGACCCCCCCCCCTAAATAAATTTATGTCTTAGGTTGCCGAAACAAAAGGCTGTCATTTAATGGCAATGGGCGCAGGATCTATAGCCGGCACAGCGTCAGTCGGTCCTTCAGGAAACGTGCACTACATTGCAGTGGCAATCAAGAAAAGCGTCATCGTTTACCAAATCGATCGCAGTGAGAAAAGGCATAGGAAATGGAAGGTAATTTACGTGTTTTTTGTTGGAATGGAGATGTGAAAACAGCAAGGCGCAGTGGTTTCCTTACATTTGGGGGAGCATAAACAAGGGAAAATGCTACAGAAAGATGGTTTTTCTGTGATGAAATAGTGGGATTAATGTAGAATGTAGAATTTCTTGTATTATACTCTTCACCCTAATTTTGCACTTCCTGATGCTGAAATTGGGATGTCACCGCGCTTCTTTTCCTCAGAATTTCAAAGGCCAAAAGCTTGACGGATTACCAAAGGAAAAAAACCGCA